CCCCCAAGATCCCCCCACTCCGCCCCCCCAATCTGCAGACAGCCTGAGTGTATTTACAGCAGCAGGAGGCAGCCAGCTCAGCCTAGGTGCCCGTCCAAGGCGGCAGTCACTGGCTCCAAGGGTGACCGCTGCTCTGGTGTGTCTCCCCACCCCCCAGGACCGGCTCAGCATCTGGGGCGGTACCTCCCCAGGGAGGGCAGGGTGGGGGGGCTGAGGCCTGCAGACCCCTCACCACCACACAGCCGTGCTCGCTAGACCAGTCCGCCCGACCCTGTCAAGCCGGAGCCTCCTCTGGAAGGGGTCCAGGGACGTGAAGACAGAACCGGACCCCATCTGCCCAGCCCTAAGCCCAGCTCACGGGGAGGGTTAAGAAGCTACCAGACGGGCAGACATGGGCCAACTCCGAGAACCCTGTGCTCGAGCACCACCCTCGGAAGAGGGAAGACCCTCGAACCCCCCACCTCGCAAGCCCCCCCAGCAGGACAGGGAAGAGGACAGGCGCGGGGCAGGGCCTCCCGGGAGCAGCAGCCGGCACCACAGAACCAGCGCCGGGAGGACTTGTCCCCGCCTCGGCGGCACCACAGGCCACCCCTCCTCCACCGTCCCAGCCCACGCGCCTCGGGTCAACGGCAGGGGCAAGAGGTGGACGGGGGGCTCAGCCACACAGATGTCACACGCTGTGGACAAGGGCACCAGGGCAGCGGGGACTGGACAGGACAGGAGAGGGATGGGGCCCCCCCCGCCGAGCCCCCCCACCCCCGTGGGGCTCCCAGTGCGTGAAGCATCCCCCCTGGGGGATCCTTCAGCCCTCCTGGCGCAGGCTCAGGGCCTGGGCTGTGGGAAGTGACTGCACAGGGACCTGAGGGTCCCTGGACGGGCATTTCCGGGAGGACAGCACCATGGCCCAAGAGGGGGCAGAGGCTCCTTGGGGCTCCTTGCGGGGGTTGGCGCAGGAGCTGGGGCGGGGACGGTGCAGTACTTTTCCATGGGCTCCCGGCGACGGGAACGCTCTCTCCAGGCTCTGGCCACCCACCCTCTGCAGACGGAAGGGTCCCTCCTTTAAAAAGGCCTAACACAGCAGCTCCCCAGCTTCCCACGAGAACCGAGAACCGGAGAGAGAGCGGGTGAAGAGGATTTTGATGAGCAGAGACCAGGATGTGGTCTCGAGGAAGCACAGTCTCCATTTCCTCAGGACACCAGCCCCGAGTCCAGCACTGACCGCGCAGGGACCCACCCGAGCTCCCCCAGCACCCCTGGGGGCCAAGGCGAAGCGGCAGAGCACAGACCCCATGGGGACCATGTGCACAAGTTACTAACCAACCAACCAGAAACCGAGGCAGCAAGAGACACTGGAAGGAAACATACCCAAATTCTTCTTCCTGCTTTTGTTTTCCAAATTTCTTTTAATCAACATGTACTCAAATAACAAAAAAAAAAATCACTTTTTAAAAAATTGCCTGAATTTAAGAATCATTACCCATCTCAGGCAGAACCTTTAAGCTCTGCCATTACTTATCATAAACCCACACAGTCTGGGGGGTCCTGCCAGTGACCAGTAGCCGGCAAGCAGAGACCACTCAGAAGGCTAGAGATTTATAACAAAATTACAGGTCACCAGGACTTGTCACTTGGAGTCACTTAGAGTTCGTTTTAAAGAAATTGGAGGAGTCTAGAAAAAGTAGGAAACTGTCCAGGAAAGGCCCAAGAAATTCACATGTACTGGAGGTTCTGCAGGGATTGGGGGCCAGACCACCGAATGGGAACTGGAATAGCTCTAAAAAAACCGTTTCCCTCTAGGGTCTAGAAACCAAAAAGGCCTGACAAAACTGGGGCTCCAGTGGCACAGAAGGCGAGGACGACGAGAAGGGGCCCAGGGGACATGGGACTGGCTACGAGCCCGGGTGAGAGCAGGACGTGGGGGCCAGCGATGCGGCCCGGCTGGCTGACCTGGGTCCTGTAAGCGCGGGCCTTCTGTGCAGGGAGAGGCGCCCGGGCTCGGGTGGCGCCAGACCTGCGGTTCTCAGCCGGAGAGAAGGCAGAGAAAGGGGCACCCAGGGCGGGCCTGAGTGCTGGCCTGGCTTCCTCCCCGACACCCAGAGGTGGCAGCTGGGAGACGACCCCGGACCCAGTGGAGCCGCTCTCTGTCGGCACAGGCCCTGCACCTGCCCACCCACCACAGAGGAAAAGTGCCGTCACGCGTCCCCCTGGCACAGAACTGCCCAGCCAGCCGGTGTCCTGGGGGTCGGACCAGCAGTCCTGCACGGAGCCCGCAGCACAGTGGCCTGGGATCCACCCCAGGGCCCGGCTGGGCCTGCAGTCGAGGAGGTGCTGGCCAACGGGCAGGCCCTCCTGCCCCAGCCCCTCTGCTATATGAAGGGGGTACATGTGCCCCGAGTCTCAGCAGCGTGCACGGCCCAGGCTTGAAACAAAGGCAGAGCTGGAAACACTAGGGCGTAGGAGTGACCAAACCGGGACTTCCCTGATGGTGCAGTGGTTAAGAATCCACCTGCCAGTGCAGGGGACATGGGTTCGAGCCTTGGTCTGGGAAGATCCCACATGCTGAGGAGCAACTAAGCCCGTGAGCCACAGCTACTGAGCCTGTGAGCCACATCTACTGAAGCCCGTGAACCTAGAGCCCATGAGCCACAACTACTGAAGCCCGCGCACCTACAGCCCGTGAGCCACAACTACTGAAGCCCGTGCACCTAGAGCCCGTGAGCCACAACTACTGAAACCCGCGCGCCTAGAGCCCGTGAGCCACAACTACTGAAGCCCACGTGCCTAGAGCCCGTGCTCCATAGCAAGAGAAGCCACCGACCGCCATGAGAAGCCCGCGCACCACAACAGAGCAGCCCCCGCTCGCTGCAACTAGAGAAAGCCCGCGTGCAGCAACAGAGACCAAACGCAGCCAAAAAACAAAAAAAGAGTGATGAAACCCACCAGCCACACACCACCCATCCTGTCAGGGGACTTCCATCGCTTCCTTTCAGAAAGACCCAAACGAGGACCTGATCTAGTCGCCGATTAATGGTAGATACTCACAGGCAAGTCTGACAAGGGCCCCAAGTCACTCGACAAGCTATGCGGCGCGGCTCCGACGACACTTCCCTCCCCGTGGACCAAGGATGAGCACAGGGTCACCGGGCGCTCACGTGGGATGTGGGCTCGAGGCCACACCAGGCAAGCCTCATGCACGGTCGGCACCTTCACCCACCGCTCAGGGCCCAGCAAAGCCGCCCCTCATGACATGAGTCGCCCACCAACTTTTACTTCATGTTGAATAACTTGTCAAGATTTGTAACATCTTATGCTGTTTTGATCAACTACACACTAGGAATTGCAGAGTCAGCTCAATACAGAAGAAAAACATGAACACTCAGAACCTGAGAGGTAACAGCAAACAAATTCAAACGTAGACACGTGTTTCTGTGGTGGAGCCTGACCACTTTTAGCTGTGATCTCGTAAATACAGACCCCAGGCCACGGCCCATGCAGCGCCATGTGAAGGGCCCTCCCTTGTCTGACAGGCTCAAAGGCCCGGCTGCGGCCAGGCCAACAGAGGCCTCCACCGGGCCACCATGCCATCGAAACCCTGTCACACCTGGGACACGAACAGCAACCTGAGGTCTGGTAGCTGAAGAATGGCCGTTGTGCGGTTCCAACCTACAGTTTACTGCAAGTCTTATTTGCCCTACAACTGCCTCTAAAAGGCACTGGGCATGTCCATGGGGGCCTGTCCACCCCCTGACGCCTGCCACGTGACCACTGAGTCCCCCTCCAGGTCCAGAAACAAGGCGAGGCCAGCGCGCCCACGTCACCTACCTCGGCTGGGGCCCCCTCAGTGCCCGGCGGGGCCGCAGGTGCCAGAGGCATCTCTCTTGCTACCGCCTTCTTCAGTTTTTTGTTCTTTTCCTTTGTCACTTGGCTATCTTTTCTCTTCTGTTTTGCCATCCTGCAACAGAGAAAGTCAACTATAAACACACAGAAAATAAAAATTCTCAATTAACAGAGAGGGGAGGGCATTATGAAAGATACCAAGCTGTTTCGGAAAGTGTGGGAAGCATGCGGCCGCCGTTGCAAATCCCAGCTCCCGTCTCGCCAGCTGTGGGCAGCTGAGCCGCTGCGGGGTTTCCTGCCTCTCCTGCGTGTTTCATTAACACAGCTGCCATCACACACAGATTATATGCTCTGTTCTAACTCAACATGAACAGGAGCTTCTAAGAGTAAAAGAAGGGACTTCCACAGCGGGCCAGTGGTTGGGACTCCACGCTTCCACTGCAGGGGGTACGGGTTTGATCCCTGGTCGGGGAACTAAGACCCTGCATGCCACGCAGTGCAGGCCCCCTCACCAAAAAAAAGAGGAAAAGAAATAGCATTTTTAGTGACAGTATCCAAATTTTCCAAAAGTGAAAACTGCGAGCATTTGTCTATTCCCTAATTGATGACTATCCGGGATTATTTTCATTTTCTACTATTACGGAGTAACTCACTTCCCCATCAACTAGGGATGCTGCAGCCCCACACGGGCTGGCAGTGACCACCATGCAGTCACTAGGCCCTCGGTCACCTGTGGCTGGAGGTGGCCATGATGAGTCTGGGGTGGCCTCCTTGGACTGTGGAAGCAGCCCCAACCGGGGCCGCATTGAAGGAGTGACACAGGTCCAAGAGGCTCTGATTACATCTCCCTCCTCAAGCACAGCAGTATCTAGAACTCCACGCACAAGGACAGAAGAACGCCCGTGAACATGAACTGCAAACCCAGCTTCCCCTGTGGGGCCGGATGATGGGAGCCAAGGGAAACGGTCACGGCACCAGAAACTAGGCAGGGGTCGGGGGAGAGGCCTCCACCCGAGGGTCACTGGCTGCGGGGACCTCCGAGGGGCGTCATGAGGGCTGGGGATGGGGGGAGGCCGCCCGCAGGGCCCCAGGCCCACCCCGAGGGGGACGTGGGAACTGACCGGATCCTCCCCACCCCGCCCCTTTGGATGGAGCCCAAAAGGAGCTGAAAACACAGGAAAGTTTCGGAGTCCCAGCAGCTACAGCGTGAGCACCCTGAGGTGCAGGGTAGAAGGCGCTTTGGCACAGAGGCCATGGCCAGCTCGTACAAGCCACACACACACACACACACATACGCGCGCGCACGTGCTTCTCGTCACACGTCAATCAAGCTGGGGGTGAGTAAGTCAGCATAAACCTGGAAAAGGAATATCACTCAATAACTGAGATCAATGAGGCAGCGCTACATGTACAGGATGGAACAGAACACGACGAGCAGTATCACACTTTTGTATTTGTTTAAGAAAATAACAACAGAGAAAGCTATGCACGTACTTACAGGCAAATGTCTGAAGGACATAAGCCAAAGCTCTCCTTTTCTGTCTCGGGACGGGACTGCGAGGGACTCCCCCACACCCACAGCTCAGTCTCATTTTTTTAATACTAGTCCTTTAAAACTCTGTCTACAAGGGCTGCTAGTATCAGCTTTTATTCTAACAAGTTACAAGAATGTATTTTGTTTTATTTATCCTAAAGTCACTCCACTGGCTTCATCTGCATGTATGTGTACTGTATGTATTATACAGACACAAGCATGTAACATGTATGTTACACGCACCCACAACATTCACGCGCATGTCGCTATAACACAGGTGTTTTCACTTCGGACACGCTGTTCCAGGCTGTCTGCACGGGAATGGACACACAAACCCAATACCTTCTTCCTCTGACACCAGAGTTCATTGTGGACTCCATCCACAAATGCTCGAAAATGCAGCTCATCCACTCCACAAGTGTTTATCGAGAGCCAGTTCCGTGCCAGGCACTGCTGCATGCTGGACACAGAGCCAACAGCAAGGGAAGGAAGAGCCTTGATCTCGGGAAGCCTCCTTCTGGCGTGAGATCCAGACCTATTTAAGTGAACGAGCCAGCGCTTTCACACAGAGATAAACACTGCCGAGAAAGGAGAACCGGGTTGAGTGAGCAGGCGCCCCCGAGGCTGGCAGCCAGGGAGCGGCGGCTCAGGGGCCTCTGAGGGGCCAGAGGCAGACAGAGGAGGCAGCGTGTGAAGAGCTGGAGGGGGCCCCGGGCCAGGTAGCGTCCCGAGGAGCAAGGTCCGCAGGTGGAGGAGGGGCGTCCGGAGCAGAGCTGCCTGCCCTCAGGTCTCTCACCCAGGCATCAGTCTCACTGAACCACTTACTGAGACCTTAACTTCCCCCAAAGCAAAACTTTCCACAGGGACAGACGGACAAATGACATCAACATGGGGGGGAGGGGAAGCGCGCTCAAGTCACCAGCAGCCCCACCCCACAGGCCCCTGCACTTCGTCACTTGTCGGTCACCGTCTCCACCGCAGAGTGCTGGCCACGTGCAGGAGCGGCTCCAGGCTGGACCACGCGGTCCAGAGTGCCCACCCACATGCAGCTCACATTCTGATGGGGGAGACAAACGTGTCAGAAAATGAGAATGATGCTAGGCAAAAAAAAAAGGAATGAAGGAAAGGGCTATGGGAAACGGTGATTATGAAAAGGGTGATCATAGCGGAAAGGGCCCAGAACCCAGATTTGAGTTCTAAATACCACTCTCTATAAAAAAGAGCCAGACTGCCTTAAGATTTCCGTCTGGAGCAAGGAACGTGTAAGGTGAACCAGCGTATCAAGCTGCACCACAAACCAAGCCAGGCAATCACAGGGCCACGGCGGAAAGGACACGGAGCCAGGGTGAAGGGCCCCTCTGCCCCCTTTGGGGCCATGACTGATTACAGCACACCGAAGGAATATCACTACTGTGCAATCAGAAAACTGCCAGGCGCCCAAGGTCTTTAATTAAGCCTTATCTTAAGAAAGTATCCCAAGCCAGAGGCTGCAAGCTTCAATTAGCAGTGTAATAAGAAATCTTGAAAGAATTAGACTGTTGACACAGGGTTTTCAAAAGACAAAGGGCTCTGCCAGCCAATTACCTTGTTGGAGAGTAAGAAAAGTTTAGCAAATATTTACACACTGGTTACCATAAAAGTTAAATCTACATTCATTCTGAGAGTTATCGTTAAAAAGTTTAATCAGGGGGCTTCCCTGGTGGCGCAGTACTTAAGAATCCACCCGCCAATGCAGGGGACATGGGTTCGAGCCCTGGTCTGGGAAAATCCCACATGCCGCGGAGCAACTAAGCCCATGCACCACAACTACTGAGCCTGCGCTCTAGAACCGCGAGCCACAACTACTGAGCCCATGTGCCACAACTGCTGAAGCCCGCGCAACTAGAGCCCGTGCTCCACAGCAAGAGAAGCCACCGCAGTGAGAAGCCCATGCACCACAACGAAGAGTAGCCCCCGCTCGCTGCAACTAGAGAAAGCCCACGCGCAGCAATGAAGACCCAACGCAGCCATAAATAAATAAATAAATAAATAAAGTTTAATCACTAAGTCTATTTGCTAAAAAGGGGGAGAAACTTTTCCATATTATAAAAAGCTTTTGGGCTTCCCTGGTGGCGCAGTGGTTGACAGTCCGCCTGCTGATGCAGGGGACACGGGTTCGTGCCCTGGTCCGGGAGGATCCCACATGCCGCGGAACGGCTGGGCCCGTGAGCCACGGCCGCTGAGCCTGTGCATCTGGAGCCTGTACCCTGCAACGGAGAGGCCACAACAGTGAGAGGCCCACGTACTTAAAAAAAAAAAAAAAAAAAAAAAGCTTTCTTTTTTAGTCCCAAGAGACAGTGATTCATACCTTTGAGACAAGGAGTGTTTGTTGTAGGAAAGACATTTCCTTACATTTACAGTCAGCTGGTCTTCAACAAGGGGGCCACACAATTCAATGGGGAAGAACAGTCTTCTTAACAGGGGTGCTAGGACAATTGGATATCCACATGCAGAGAATGAAACTGGACCCCCTACCTCACACTACACAGAAGAATTATTCAAAATGCAGCAAAAACCTAAATGTAGAGCTAAAGCTATAAAACCCTTAGAAAACATAGGAGTAAATCTTTACGACCTTGGATTAGGCAACAGTTTCTTCATTACGACACCAAAAACATAAGGAGAAGAAAAAAAGATAAATTGGATTTATGAAAATTGAAAATTTTGTGCTATAAGTGATGCCAGCAAGAAAGTAAAAAGACAATCAACAGGAGTGGAGAAAATGTTTGCAAGTCGTATCTGACATGAGACTTGTATCTAGAATGTATGAGGAACCCGTAACTCAACAAAAAAGGCCAACAACTCACTTTAAAAATGGACAGGGACTTCCCTGGTGGCCCAGTGGCAAAAAATCTGCCTTACGACACAGGAGACGTGGGTTCAAGCCCTGGTCAGGGAACTAAGATCCCACATGCTGTGGGGCAACTAAGCCCGCGTGCCACAACTACTGAGCTCCCGTGCCCCAACTAGAGAGCCTGCGTGCCGCAAAGTACAGAGCCCATGCGCTCTGGAACCCGCGTGCCACAGCTACAGAGCCCACGCGCCCTAGAGCCTGCGCGCCACAACTAGAGAGAGAAAATCCGCATGCCACAACTAGAGAGAAGCCAGAGCACCACAACTAGAGAGAAGCCCATGCACCGCAGTGAAGAGCCCACATACTGCAAGAAAAGATCCCGCATGCCTCAAGGAAGATCCCATGTGCCAGGACTAAAGACCCGACACAGCCAAAAATAAATAAATAAAAACAAATAAATCTTTAAAAATAAATTAAAAATTTACAAAAAATGGACAAAGGACTTGAACAGACAATTCCGCAAAGAAGAGATACAAATGGCCAGGAAGCCATGAAGGAGCTCAACATTGGTCCTCATTAGGGAAACGCAAGTCAAATGACACACTTCACACACACGAGGATGGCTGAAATCAGACACATAATAGGGAACGTTGGTGAAAATGTGGAGGAATTGGAGCGCTCATCACTGCGGGTGGGACAGAATACGGTGCGGCCACTTTGCAGAACAGTCTGGCAGTTCCTCAAAAGG